GGCAGTCTTGTGCTAAACAATAAGCGATGATTTGCATTCTCTACTGGTTGGATTTAAGTAGTTGAATCTAGTGAACTAATAATATGTTTTAGTACAGTGTTTCTCAACTTTGGCAACTTGAAGATGTCCGGACTTCAACTCCCAGAATGCCCCAGCCAGCGAATGCTGGCTGGGGAATTCTGGGAGTTGAAGTCCGGACATCTTCAAGTTGCCAAGGTTGAGAAACACTGTTTTAGTATGATGGTTGAATACTATCATTATGCAAGCCTGAATCAATTCATGGACTTGTTGTAAGATTAAGATATTGCTCTTCATTCCTTGGAAATAAGTTAATAATAGGTTGCAGATAAAGAGTATCCTAAAGTTGGAAAATAACTTGAAAATCCATTTTCATGAATTAGTGGTAAAGAGAAATGTAAAACAGCTGGTTTTGCCGGGAGCTGACTCATAAAATTCAGTTATATGTAGTGTACTTAAACTTATAAAACCAAGTATATTTAGTACATTTACTTCAAAGAGGCTTCTGACATGATTGTTCTTCCACCCACTTACATTATAGCATTAACTAATAATTTCATAAATAATATAAAACTGATAATTTTTGAGCTACTGTGCTCTTCTCACTCCATAATTTTCTTTTGTATTATCAAGTGTTTATATGAATAAGTGCAAAGAAACAGGGCTTATAGCAAAAAGGTCTGAAGGAAGATGTGGGTGGAAATAATACACCTGGCTGGAAGCCAGAAATATAGGTTGTAACCTTGACCTTTTTTAATGCTATGTCTTTGTCCTTAAAATGGTACAACTGAGTTAACAATTTGAATCAATCCTTTAAGCAGATTGATGCACATAACTTTCATGAGAGGATTATTACACCAAAATTATGGTTGTAGTATATTATGTGGATACTCATCTGTGTCACAACAGACTGCCTGCTGAAATACCCTTGTCCCAAATTATCATTTTATATGACTTTGGTGGCATTCCTTTACTGTCCTTTTTTTCTTTGCCCTTTTTATGATGACTATATTTATCTTGCTATAGGACTGTGAATTAAACTGTTCAGTATAAAGCTAAATCAGTGTGCATTTGAAAAAAATTTTTGTCAGGACTTTATCCTGAAAATGGTGCACTGATGGAAGTAATGCTTAGTTTAGGTTTTCATATTTCTGGAGTAAAAAAAGCATAAGGAAGGAGTCTTAAGAGAATTATTTATTTCTTTGTCTATGTTTGGCAACATTTACTTCAACGTAAATATCTGTGGTTTTTGAAAGCATAGGGCTTAAAATTATCATTATGTGAATCAAATTTTAGGAAAATAGTGCTTCTTTTATTGATATACTTCATTTAGAATGCCAGATGAGAAACATATAAATGATAAATGTATAAATTCATTTTCATAGATGATAAATGAATATATTTTAAAATCAGCAAATGAAGTGGATGCAATACAACTACATCCAGTCTTTAAATATATATTTTTAATAATGAACTTTGGAAATACATACATTAATAATGAACTTCTTTGGAAATACATACAGACATACAGACAGACATACAGACATACAGACATACATATATATCATTACATTTGTGTCAACCTACAAAAGTATCATTGAATTCAGAGGCATTTGGTTCTCAGGAGACATGCATATAATTGTTGTTTTTGCAATACTCATTTCCACCTAAGTAATTAATTTCAAATCTAATGGAAACGTTTTTTAAAAAATAGTTCTGGGGTGTAACATCTGATATTTATAAGCATAATGTATTAATGATACATTTCTGCAGTATTGCTAATTAAGTCATACAATAATGATAGCTTGCCAGTTTCACCTGGAAAAAGAGTATGGCCTGTTTCCTTAGGAAAAGAAAAGTCTAATTAATTCATTTTTAAAGTAGATTTAGGCATACTTTCTCTACTTTTTATATATCTCTTAATGCTTTCAAGGAAAAATAGGGCTAATGCTGTATTTGAATTGAGATGCTAGTGTCCAGTTATCTTAAAATAAAAAAGTACATTTATTTGATCTTTTTTAAAGACTGCAACGATCTGTTTATGATGTACCTTTAAAACTACCGCATAAAAAAAAGTCATTCAACATTTTTGATTCAGAACTCGGGAAGATTTTATCATGTTAATGGTGAAGTTGTAACATGAATTTTGATTAGAAATGTGTGTATAAAAACAAGTTCTGTTTTTTGTACAAATAATAAATAAGCTGCAGTTGAAAACAGTAGGTGGATTTGTAAAATTAAAATGGCCTGAGGAATCTCAGTTTTTGAATATAGGAAATGTATTTCTGAAAAGCTTCTGGCAATCAAAATAATTGAATGTATTTTCTAGAATAGTTTATATTGTAAAGATAAAATAGATGGTGATACAATAATGCATTTCCTTTACATGGGGTAGATTAAGGAAATGTGCCAGTGTTTGATAAAATTGCTTTTCTAATACAGAAAAAAAGATAATGCTCAAACAGATGTTACTCAGCCAGGCTTCTTTAACTTTAATTCTTCAGTTGTTACTTTTATAATTATGGGAGGCATTCTCTATTGAATTTCAATATTTGTTTCATGGATACGAATACTTGTCAAGAATGTTGAAAGTTTGTTCTATTAGTCATAGCACCTTTTAGCCTTCATGTTTTATCAGTGTATTTGTGCCTTATGAAAAGTGCATTGTATCCTAATGAAAAACTTGTAATTCTCTTTGAAAGGCCTTAGTACCTGTTCTGCTAAGCACACATAACCAGACATTCAAAGAAAAAATGTAATTGCTTATGAATTGGAAGAAGGGTATTCTTTTATTCCTTGGGCAAAATGCCTGCTTTTCCTATTTTAATTCTCTAAAAGAGAAATGGATTCTAAAGTCCTAAGCAATGAGGATGTTGTTGGGAAAATAGGTTGAAGAAGGAGTATGTAAGCTATATTCATTCACTTGAATTCTTTTATGAAAATGTTTAATTATAAAAATAATAAAGCAATATAAAATAATGCCGTGTTTCCCTGAAAATATGACAGGGTCTTATACTTTTTTGACCCACGAAATATGGCCTTGGGCTTTTTAAAGGGGAGGGCTTATTGTTTTTGGGTTGCCAGGCGGCTGCTCCCTTGCGACCGGGCTCCCGAAGAGCCAGGCATAGCCTCAGGGTCAAATGGCTGTGTTGCGCTGTCGCAGCAGCAACACAGAAGCCATGAGGTGGCCATGCTCACAAGCAACTACCCAGCAACCCCCCTTTCCAGCTGGGCACAGCGCCGCTAACCAACCTAGTGGTACCCAGAAGGCACCAAGGAGGGTTGCGCGAGCGGCTTCTCCGCTTCCTGCTCGCACAATTCGCAGACTCACAATGCCCTTGGCTAACTCTACAGTACCTGCAGAGCCAGGTCATCTCCACTACTGGCGCTGCCCACCGCATGTTTGTTTTTTTTTTTTGCAGCTTTCAAAGCACAGAGGACGGATGCCGCTCTGGAAGTACGCTCTATGGTAGCATACAACCATAGAGCATACTCACAGAGCAGTATCCTACCTCCGTGCTTTGGAAGCCACAACGGAGGATGGATGCCGCTCTGGGAGTACGCTCTATGATTGTAAACTCTGCAGCGCACAACCATAGAGCTTACTCCCAGAGCGGCATCCGTCCTCTGTGCTTTGAAAGCCACAAAAAAAACCCTAACCGGCGGGTGGCGCCAGATGCCCTTGCTCTGCAGGTATGTAGAGTTAGCCAAGGGCATTGTGAGCCTGCGAGTCGCGTGAGCGGGGAGCGGAAGAGCCACTCGCGCAACCTTCCTCTCCAGCCACGCAGAGCCCCATTAACTCACCTAGGGGCATTCCGAAGGCACTGAGCCGTGGGAGGTGGAGGGCAGCGAACAGGTGGTCGCATTGCTCGGTGCCTTCCAGGTACTGCTAGGTGGGTCAGCGGTGCTGTGCCCGGCTGGAAAGGGGGATTGCCGGGTGGCTGCTCGCGAGTGTGGTCACCTCATGGCTGCTGTGTTGCTGCTGTGACAGCGCAACACAGCCATTTGACCCTGAGGCTGTGCCTGGCTCTTCGGGAGCCTGCTTGCAAGAGAGCAGCTGCCCGGCAACCTTCCCTCTTCAGCTGGGCACAGCACCACTGACTGACCTAGCAATACCCCAAAAGCACCAAGCAACATGAGCGCCTTTGCCCCCCACCTCATTCCCACGGCCTGGTGCCTTCGGGATACCGTTAGATCGGTGAGCGGTGTTCTGCCTGGCCAGAAGGGGGGATTGTCCAGGGGTCTAATTTTTTTTTGGGGGGGGGCTAATATTTTTGCCCACCTGAAATATGTGGCAAGGCTTTAGTTTCAGGACAGGTCGTATTTTTGGGGAAGCACGGTACATGTAATGATTTTTCCATCATCCTCGTTATCCTAGTACCTTTCTTTTCTCCCCACTTTCTCTTAACTGCAATTGTATGTTGTCATTAGTGATGGCCTTTTCTCCAATTCTTTACAGTATTTCATTACAGAGGCATTTGTTTCATTTCTGTGCCTGGATCAACTATTGGATTTTTGAAAGATTGGAAAGATTCTGATTTTTTTTAAAATTAAAATTCTGAGCTATGTAGTGTTTAAGAATGAGATTGAAATGTTGTCTGATAATGTTGACAATTTTTTTTTTACTGTGCTTGTGGATTATTTGCAAAAATTCAGTAACTGAAAATTGTATAGTAGAAAATTAGAACTGGCAATTCAGGAAAAAGTAGAAAGGATGACATGTACAGTTGAATACAAAAAGACAAGTATTAAAAGGAATTAAAGTGTAAAAATATATTTTACAGTTCCTGAGGAACTTTAGGAAAGAAAAGTAGAATGTGACCTCTATTAATGGGTTTAATATTATGAAACATTCTTCAGTTGTAACAAGAGCACATGGGTATAATAAGCCTTCTACGTGGACAAGTTTAGCATAATTACATATACTGGTAATAATTTATTTTCTTTGGCTACGGTTTCCAATATTGTTGTTGCATTTTCAGATCTCTGAAAGTTAAGAGAAGATAGGATGGATGCTACTGTAATACTGTCTATTCTGAAGAAAAAATTAGCTTTCCTCTCAGGTACAGTTTTATTCTTTCATTTTTATGTATTATAAGAAAAACTGTTTTAAAACACTTTTGCTTTTATTGTTTTCTGATGTGTAGTCTCAATATTCGTTAGAAATTCTTCTAATGCAGTGTTTTTCAACCTTGGCAACTTGAAGATGTCTGGACTTCAACTCCCAAAATTCCCCAGCCAGCGAATGCTAGCTGGGGAATTCTGGGAGTTGAAGTCCAGACATCTTCAAGTTGCCTAGGTGGAGAAACACTGTTCTAATGTTATGTATTTTATATTACCTTCAATCTCTGTCCTGTTCATGTGGAAATAATGATCAATAATTTTCTGTAGATAAAAGATGAAATTATATTTTGATTTTGGTGTATTAAAATTCTCTATATGCTATGTTTATTTTTAATTTAAAATTATTATATTAATAAGAGTTCAAATAACTGACATGCATAGTTATGTTTAAAATATAGCGAATTCGAAATAGTTGATTGAGATGTTGATCAGGCTGAGAGCTCTTTCAGATTAAGCTACTAAGCTATTTTCTCTTAGGATGTATTTGGATGTTTTAATTTTAAATGCTACAAGTAGTGTTAAATACTAGATTAGCTTTATTATTTTTAAAATTGAAGTTGGAGTGTTGGCTGGATGCCTACATCACCCTCTGACATATTGTACAGAAAAATTATTCCTGTTAAGCAGGTTTTATTTGATAAAAGAGGTATTGTTTACTCCTATAATTTCGACTAAGCGCCCACACTTTTTCCTTCCTGGGAACCCTATAAATTGAGAACCATAATTACTATTTATTATATTATAATAACACCAATCCTTGAGGTTTAACCATATAAGTAATAACTTGATTAGTTCATGACTAAATCAGCACTGCTTAAAAATGGTGTAAGTAGTAACAGCTCTTTATATTTGTGTTGCCTCAATTTTTGCTGTTTATAGATGCCTGAATGAAAAAGTTACAAACTTTAAGACATTAAGGTTTATTTTGTTATTTTTTACTTAAAAGCCTACTTGTACTACATAAATACAGGTAGTCCTAGACTTATGACCACAACTGAGTCCAAAATTTATGTTGCTAAGTGACAAATTTGTTGAGTGAGTTTTGCCCCATTTCTTGCCACAGTTTTAAGTGAATCACTGCAGTTAGCAACACGGTTGTTAAGTGAATCTGGCTTCCCCAATGACTTCGTTTGTTAGAAGGTCATAAAAGGAGACCACATGATCCCAGGACACTGCAAAGGTCATAAATATGAGTCAGTTGCCAAGTGTCTGAATTTTGAACTTATGACCATGGGGATGCTGCAACACTCATAAGTGTGAAGAATGGTCATAATTCACTTTTTTCAGTGCCATTGTATCTTTGAACAGCCACTAAACAACCTGTTGTAAGTTGAGGACTACCTGTAGTTCTTTTTAACAATATAATTGGCAGATAAGAATTTATTTGGGAGATGCCAAAAGGAGAACTTTTTTGAGTTACAAGTTGCTAGCATAAATGTAAAATAACAAAAAATGGTCTTGAATGTATAGAAGCCTAATAAATCATAAATAGTTGTAATATACTTGCTTGCTTAATGATTATTAAAATATCAGATGCACATTACATGTTTTACCTCGACTATGTCTCTCAACTGTGTGTGATTTCCACCCAGCCACCTCAAGCAGAGAACATGATGTAATGGTTGGCTTCCTATCTTTCATTTAGGGCATTGATGGTATTAAAGTGTAACAATGTCCATCCTCAGTGAAATGGCAAATAAAAATAGCCTTGCTAAGTAACTGCTTAAAATTTTAAGCATCATCTCTAACTAAATATACTTAAGAGATACATTTTACTTATTGCAAAGGAACTTGGAACCAAAGGAAATGTTTAGAATTGGTATAGAGGTTCTTAATTATTTTATTTTTAGAAACAGAAAGCATATTGCTTTGGTCTCTGAAAATCATTTTGAAGATTTAAGTCAGAATTTTGTCTCTATGTATGCATCTGTCTTTCTTTAATTTTCCCCAGCTCTTTTTACTGGAAGACTAGATTTTATATTATGTGGAAAAGCTATAATTAGAATGGTCAAATGGAAACAAATTATGACACTTCCCATAATATCAGCAGTGAAGGGCAAGGAATTATTCAAGAAAATAATTTTACATCATGGTGTTCTTAATTATACATACCTTCATTTTACCTGTTCTTCTGTTTTCTTGGCCAAAATGTGCCTTTGTAAACTAAAGCCTTGTAAACATATATAATGCAAACAGTCTCTGGGTAAACAAGCTACATAACTCCGTATAACATGATAGCAGGCTGTTTGCACACGTGTGAAAAGGTGGCTACCATTCTGTGCATTCTTTAAAATCTGCCATTCATATATGTAGGAAAAGGTTGTTAGTTTTTTGTGCTTGTGCAGAGCCAGTTTCCATGCAAAAATTGGTGATCTAAAATTTGCAAAAGTTGATATTTATGGAGTGATATTTATGTATGTCAGAAATAGATTTTGAATCATTGATACAGCCACACATGTACGTATCGGTAATATAGAGCCGAGATGGCGCATTCGTTAGGGTGCAGTACTGCAGGCCACTTCAGCTGACTGTTATCTGCAGTTCAGTGGTTCTAATCTCACTGGCTCAAGGTTGACTCAGCCTTCCATCCTTCCGAGGTGGGTGAAATGAGGACCCAGACTGTGGGGGTGATATGATGACTCTGTAAACCGCTTAGAGAGGGCTGAAAGCCCTATGAAGCGGTATATAAGTCTAACTGCTATTGCTATTGCTAAGCAGATATGTCCCTAAATGGGCAATTCAGAAATAAATAAGGAAGAACTTATATACTCATTATACATAATTTGAGTATCAATACATTGGTTGTTGGCCAATGGATTGTCTTTATATTCCCTCCCTCCATCCAACATCTCTTAGCAGCTTATATGAAAGAAAAAATATAAACTTTTTCTTATATAAAGAAAAAAATGGGGGGGCAAGGTTAAAATATTAATAAAGTAACAGCCATAAAAGACAAAACGGGGGGAAAACTGAGGAGGGATTGGAATAAAGAGTTCATGATGAATTAGTTTGTGAATCAGTAACAAAATCAATGTTTGAGTTTGGGTGACTGGATGGATTTCTTAGGTAACATCTTTTAAGGATTTTGAGAATGGGTTTTTTCTAATTATTGAATAATTCTGTGCCTGTTAGTGACTAATTGATTATAAAGTTCACATCTCAAAAGAAAGCAGAACTTTGAGGATTCTTTTTTTCCTCTGTTCCTGCAGAAGAGTATAATATAGCATGTTAGATTTGCAATTAGAGCCTTGGCAAAACTTGTATATCAAAGCTACTATATTGTCTTTTAAGGAACGTATCTGATGTTTTTATGCTAATAAGGATATTCTGTCCCTTTCTTTGTTACCTTACATCCTTATCAGCTATAAAGTAATTATTTCCCAGTGGAGGTCTTGCACTAATGTATATATACATGTTCCAACTGTCTTTGAACAAGATTCTTTATATAATTAGTGTAACACTGTAACCTTTACTCTTAAGTCTTCTGGGTGCAAGAAATTAGGAATTTGTGGTACACGTTTAACATCTTCCTGAAAACAAATACGCTGGGGGCTAGCTTGATTTCTACCAGAAAACTTATTCCAGAGCACAGAAAAAGCAATGGTGTTTGGCTTCAATTCTCTTCCATCCTCTTAAATGTGGGATAATGAGTTTCTCCCTAAATGATCTAGTAGGTTGAGGTGATTCTGGTTAATTCATCACCTTCCTCTTCTTCATTCCTGCTATGGGCAGTTATCTTCACTGATGGAAGATGATTGCCCACCATATTTTCCTACTTTGAAACCTTTCACGTTTAAATTATGCTTTCAGATTCTACTATTTTGACGAATTTATCATTGTTCCTGTCCAACATATTATACCACACATATTTTGAAGTGCAGTTCAAAACAGAAAGCAATGCTGTGAATAGAAAATAGAAAGCAATGCTGTGGGTATGGCGATTATGAGAGCTGGCATTTATTTGGAATATATCACATGTTGTTTGGCTTTCTTTGTACCTTAACCGACATTTCTTTTCTTTATGCATGCCATGGTGTGCAATCTTTGTAAAGCTCTCTTTCTGCTGCAGTCTTCTGCAGCCTATCCATATGTTCCAGAAACCCTCCAGCCCCCGAGAAACAGCTTTTTAGATGTTTATGTAGACTGCAATGGGAACAGGAATTTAGAAGGCGTCAGATGCCCTTCAATTAGCTATTGCCATATGCCCAGAAAAGCTTTCCTGTGAAGTGTATAACATCTCCATTGAAAGGAAGGGTAATCAATGATTTGTTATTTGCATCAAGCATTCATTATTATTTTTTCCTTCCTTTTTTAGAACCATGTTTTTACCTTTTTCACATTTTTTGGTCATCTTGCTTATAGGACAATCAGTGCTAAAAAGGGCTGTCTCCCCTTCCGCAGAATGGGCTACTTTTTTCTTTTGCAATCCTTTTTTAATTTTTAAACTCTTGTATAAACAACAATAGCAAGAAAACCTTAAAGTGACAGTGAATTGTTCCATTATTGAACAAATGGAAACCAGCCCTATTTGAAAGAAATACAATAAAAGGAAGGAAAGTACCATTTCCTTAAATGTGCTTAGTGATTTCAAATTACAGGATAAGTATTCTTTTGAGCAAAGCTGAGTCATTTCATCTTCCTCCACCTGCAGTTTGGAATTGGCTGAATTCCTATTTCATGAGAGAAGAAGAGGTAAGGCAAAATAAGAGAGTTGAAGGGCCCTTAAGGTCTTCTAGTCCAACCCTCTGCTCAAGCAGGAAACCCTACACCATTTATGGCAAATGGTTGTTCAGTTCCTTCTTAAAAGCCTTCAGTGATGCAGTAACCACAACTTCGAGACGCAAGTCCTTTTATTGATTAATTGTTCTGTCAGGAAATTTCTCCTTAATTCTAGCTTGGTTCTCTCCTTGATGAGGATTTTCAGAACGTGAGGCCTGCAAGTTCTTTGCAGTTTCAGATATAAAGATGTAGAAACTTAAGCAGGTGAATTTAGATTAACTAGGTATGCTTTGTTGAAGTTTTGGGACAATTAATATAATACAAAAGAAGAAATGTTTATTTCTTTCTCACTTGGGTAGTAAATTTTTCTTCACCTGGTGAAGGAAAATTATTAAGAAATCAATATAGGTAGTCTTCAACTTACAATCACAATTGGGACCAGAATTTCCATTGCCAAGGAACAAAGTTATTTGTGCCCACTTTTTACAATCTTTTTGCCACAGCTGTTAAGCAAATTCAGTTAAATGAATCCATGCGCCCCCAATGATTTTTTTTTGGGGGGGGGAGTTGGCTGGGAAAGTTACATGGCGATTACACAATTCTGGGATGTTCCAACTGTCATACATACCTGCTGGTAGCCAAGTGCCCAAATTTTGATCACATGACTAGAGGGAGGTTGTGACAGTTATAAGTGCAAAGACTGGTTGCAAATCCCTTCTTTTTCAGTGCCATCATAACCTTGAATGGTCATTAAATGAATGGTTGAGTGACGAGGACTACTTGTGTTACTATTTCTATGTGAAATTGTTCCCATCTATTTGTTCACAATAAATAATTGATACTAGCTTGTATAAATTACAAATTAGCTGTGAGTTCGATCCTAAGTAGAGGCAGATGTTTCTCTCTCTGGGCACAATGAGAATGTATCTGCTGAACAAAACTTTGCACTGGCGACAGGAAGGGCATCTGGCCATTAATACACTCTGCTAGCTCCATTCAGTTGCCCAGACTCCACCCCGCAAGGGATTATGGGGTCGTTAAATTATGATGATAGCGACTGAATTTAAATTTTCTTTGTTCCACAAATCTTTTTTATTTCCATTTCATTCTATACATTTAACACATATTATATTTTCCCCCTCCCCTAGATCCCCACCTCCCTTCCCTCCCCCCGACTTCCCAGAGCCCATACATGGTATAACTTTTTGACAATCACAGTCTAAAATATCTCTACATTGAACTCAGCTTCTTACTGTTACCCAAAAATTTTCTTTGTTATGGGTCTCAAAGCTTTATTACATATATGCAGCACTCCAAATAATTTTCTACCAACACAGCAATTATTATTATTATTTTTTTTTAGCGTATGGCACGTGCTTGCCAGGGGATCACTGGGATGACTGGCTGCCTCTATGAAAGGAATTTTTGGGGGCGGTGTTATCTTTTACCCGTGGGGTGCCTGAATGCTGGTAGGCAATATGGGGAGGCTCCTTGTCCCTACATGGTTTATTCACTCATGGGAATTGAGCCGCCAACCTGAGTGGTATGCAGGCCCAGCCTCTTACCGCGGGAGCCACTGTGGCCCCCTTCCACATCAATATTTTATAGTCAAGGATTTTTTCCAGGAAAGTCAGGGTATTGAATACCACAAAAGAGATCTAGACTGGATCATAGGAAGCACTCAGTGGCAGTAGCCTTTCAACTCATCCCAGCCTGACCTAATAGATTTTCCAACAGCTGTAAGATTTGGTTGGCTGGGCTGAATTTAGTCTGTTACTCTTAAGCAGCATCACTTTCCAGGAACCGTATTTGCTCTTGAATTTCAGAGTGGGTAAGTGATACTTCTGAAGCAATCCTGGTCCGTTCTACAGGGAAATGAGGTTGGCTTCCCTAATGGATAGGAGAAGAATTCATCTGAGGCCAAGTTCTGGTTGTCCCAGTGCAAGATTATTTTCTAGACAAGGAGAGAGGAGGAAAAGGGAAGATACAAGGAAAGAAAGATCTGTTCCTTAAGTAGAGAAAAGGGAAAAAAATGACGATTAGAACAGCTCTTGATTCAAGGATGGGATTCTTGATTAGGTCATCCCAGTTATTATCTTGACAAAGTACCTGTGTGAAAAGGCTTTGTCTTGTGTCTTTTTCAGAATTAAAAAAAATAAATTTATGTTTAAAGGCATAATGTGATATTCTTTATTTTCAACTCATACAAGATACTTTTGTATCAACATGCAAAAGAGCTTTAATGTTGCAGCCTTTGGGTTAATGTATTAGTCTTTATGTGACACTTATGATATTTTGAGTTTGAAAACCCTGTGCTCATGGAAGATTAACATGTTGTAAGCAGAAGAGTTCACCTTTATTAAATGTTAGAATTTATATAATGGAACTGAGGGTATATAAGTGATTTTTTTATTAGATCCCTCAAATAGATTTTTTCTAGATGGATGCCTACAAAGGATATGAGTTTTGTGGGCTGCCATAAAGAAGAGGGAGTCAAGCTATTTTCCAAGGCACCTGAGGAGAGGACAAGAAGCGATGGGTGGAAACTAATCAAGGAGAGAAGCAACTTAGAACTAGGGAGAAATTTCCTGGCAGTTAGAACAATTAATCAGTGGAAAAAGTTGTAAGTGCTCCAACACTGGAAGTTTTGGAAGTTGTGAGTGCTCCAACACTGGAAGTTTTTAAGAAGATTTTGGATAACAATTTGTCTGAAGTGGTGTAAGGGGTTGGACTAGAAGACCTCCAAGGTCCCTTACAACTCTGTTATTCTAATAAATTCTAATTTCTGATATGCATGGAGTGATTTTTTCTTCTGTGCAATAATTATTATTAGTCACTTAGTGAACCATATTAATGAAATCAGAACTATAAGGAAAATCATAATGGTAGAAATACATTGTAGAGTTTCAGATGTTTGGGTTTATATCAATCTTCTTTGAAATTCACAAAATCTCCTTTATGAGCTTTAAAAAATTCTATATACTTATACCTGTTTCAGCATGTCCTTTAAAATCCCGTGAAGAAGTCATTAGATTGGATAAATTATGCTGAAACATATTTGAAAAGAACCACTCATTCTCATCTTACAATCCTGAAGTTGTATGTAGGAGCTATAATTTGATTCTCTTGCCGATTTATGATGTATCCAATCATGGATGAACTTTTTATTTTTACTCCTAACTACAGAGATCTGCTTTCTTTAACTGAACAAATTTATTGGGATATAAAATTTCATGGGCTATATAGTTCACTTCATAAAGTCAAATGTAGGGCCGCAAAAGTTTATGCAATGATAAATGTATTCATAATTAAGATATTACAAGACTCTTTGTTGCAATTGCAGCATAGTTGTTGTAGAACACACTGATATTGTGTGCTGTGTTTGTTTAGACTTTCATCTGTACTTTGCTCATTACTGCATGCTGATTATTGCATTAACGAGAACACGGCGTATTCCAAGGAAGATTTTAAATCTTCAGGGAACTCTGGCAATCTAAGGGACTTTGCAGCTTTCAGGACAAAGGGATTGAGGAACTCCCTGAGTTTGACCTGCCAAAACTCCCTAAGCAGAAAAAGCTGTATCTCTTTCTTTTCATTGCCCCACCCATCACTTTATTTTTGTTTTAATCTTTCCACTTTCTCTTGAGGCCCAAAGCTTTTTGCTTTCTGTCAGACACAGACGTCTTAAATGCAAACAACATTTGTTTCTGTTTCAGTATTGGACTTCTAAATCATGTGCTAATAGCTAGTCACCGGGAGTTAGAGATTCTTTATAATTTCTACTTATTACCTATGTAGAACATTGATGATTAATTTTTAGTCAGTCAAACCATGTTTCTTATTATAACAGCAATTTAAATAGAGCATAATTTGACACATGAGATGGTTTTGATACATGCAGACACATAACATGTCTGATCTTTTGTAATTTATTAGTATTATATTAGGTCGGCTTCAGTAGTGTTCTTAGCTACAGTCAGTTCTTTCTCCTTATAAAGCTCCAGTGTCTCCCAAATGTGCTCTGGATAATGTAACCTTTATGGATGATGCAGAGGTTAAAGAGAGAAATGAAACTCAGGTCCCTTGAATGGAAATCAATTATATTAATTATAGTTAATAGCCAAAGGACACAATTTCAGTGCAGTGCTTCAATATTACCATTCAGTTTTGAAAATATACATTGAGTTCCAAATATATTAGGCAATAGTGAATGACTATTGATTGTTTTTTTAACCATTCTGTCTATATTTTTTAGGTGGGAAAGACAGAAGAAGTGGCCTCATTCTGACAATTCCATTATGCCTTGAACAAACAAATATGGATGAATTGAGTGTCACCTTGGACTATCTGCTAAGTATTCCTAGGTGATTTTTTAAAGACTTTATTTTGTGACATGATGTTACCTTCAGCAGTCATTCTATCAGTCTTGGATATTCTCACTTAATTTTCTTTTCTTACATGCCAATTTTTCCCCAAGATGTATGGCTGGCACTGTCTGTTTCACATTCAGAACCTCTCACCATCTTTGTGTCCTTCACTTGTTTTTTCACTCTTATCTTATAAACTATCAAACTAGTAATGTTTTTAAGATATATATTCATTCCCTTTAACAAACACACACACACACACACAAACACACACACACACAAACACACACACAAACACACCTCTGAATAGACTTGAATTTAAATGGCTTATTTGAAACAAACAACTTTTTCTAGGCGGATGCCAGTCATACTTTTAACTAAATTGTGCAGGCATTACATATTTTAAATTCAAAAGTTAAATTAATGTATTTTCTGTTTCCTTATCTCATTCCCATTCATTCATTAACATACCCAATAGAGTAACATCTTCCTCTAGATTGCATTCATTCAGATTGTTTCACAATTTTTCTCAAAGCTCCAGCCCAGTTCTTTCATCGTGACCATTTATCACAACCTTACATGTATGTGTCACCAGTGTATGAAGTCCTGCTTTGATACACAGCCTCAACAGTATAGATGACTAAACTCAGACTTTTTAATTAAAACTATGCCTTGGCTTCCATATATTTATCTAATCCTGTCCATAAGATCAGATCACCTTCATTCACATCATTTATATCCCATTCTTTTTAGATTCACAAATACATAATACATTATTTTTATTTCTCTTGCATGCATTATTCAATGTCTTCATAGATACTGATGTCCACTGTCCATTATGACTTTTAAGCTTTCATGTAACATTTTTTATATCAGAAAAGAAAAGAGTAGACTAGCTTTTCAACTTCTGTTGAGTCTGTGATACATGTACCATTCTTGCTAAAGGTAGGAACAATGCTAGTCAATATAGGCATGATTTTATATATATAGCTAATTTTACATATGTTGAAAGAAACACAAAGAAATCTCATTTTCGCATCAATTGTGCTGAAACTATGCTGTGAGGTTTAGGAGATCTAAAACTATTTTGCAAGTAAAGTTACTGTTACTCATTTGCCAGCAACTAGGAGATAATGTTCAGTTATGTTTTAATTTTGTTGATATTTAATTATTTTTTCAAAACACTGTCAGGATAAGATTTTAATAGTATGGGGACGAAATGTGAAGTAGGAATTGTGTGTTTATTCCCTCTTACAGATTGACACATATACACTTATACTGTGTAGACAGTTTTATGTTTAAGTAGTTGGCACACGTATAGCAGCCAACTTCTACGTACACAAATGACATCTTCCAGCTTGCACTTAAGTAGGGCATGTGGTCCGGGAACATTGTTTTTTTCTGCTCTGCTTCTGTGAAGTTGCCTTGATCCACTCTCAGCCCATTAATGAGATAGTACTTCCGTAGTTGGCTGTTCATCAG